AGAGAGAGAGACACAGACACACAAAGAGAAGGCATTAGTCTACACGGGACAAAGGAATAGCAAATTGGCCACCAGACATTGTTCAATTATCATGCTATTTTTACCTCGCACGGACCACTAGCTTCACACAGACAGGACGGTAAAATGCAGACACTTGACTTTCGCCTACGGCTGTAAAGATAGACTTGTCAAAGGCTCATTAATAGCAGTGTCTGTGAGCTAGGTAAAGACTGACTGAGCATGGGATGAGTAATGTTCATTATCATGTCAGGAACAGCCCTTTAATGGATCAATCTCCACCATCTCCAGGAGTAATCACTGCTGCTGTACGTAGAAACAGAGAGAACAAACACATTTTTATAATTCTATTGTCTTTCCCTCTGTCCGTTGGGAGTCAGTGCTGTTTGGTCTCTTTTTTTCAACCATCTCTCTGGCTGGGCTCTGAGTCTGAATTCCCTGTGCTGGTGTAATGAGACACACTCCAGCAGGCTGGCTACAGTGAGAGGAGGAAGCAGGCCAGAGGGTGGACAGTAGATACTGTAACTGTACATCATAATTGGGTAAAAATCACATCATCTTGTACATTTTACGAAGGAAATATTTAACAATGTTGACATACAGTAGCAATCCATTCTAAACAATTTAGCTCACTGGCGTTACAATCACTGAGTAAACTAAGCTTTAGTAGTATTAGAAGAAAAATAGCTATGAATGTTTAAAATGCAGTCAAAAATGTGATTTTCCTGTGTTTTATATATTTCCACACTATGAGGTTGGAATAATACTGTGTAATTGTGAAAATTATGATAATACCCATTTAGTGTAAGAGCTGTTTGAAAAGACCGCCTGAAATTTCTGCCTGTTTTGGTGGGATGGAGTTTTGGCCTACCTGATGACATCACCAGGTGGTAAATTAGTAAATAGACTAATAACCTCTCTGCCAATAACAGCTAGTTTTCAGTTCTCCCCACTCAGACCACTCCCAGACAGTCTTAGCAAAATTCTTGCTTGAGAAATTGCTCTTTGCTATGGAGTTATTTTTGTTTCGTTTTCACCATTTTAATTGAGAACAATCACAGCAAGGTACTTAATTGTTACCCAGAAATGATTTGATATTGAGATCAAAACGGCTGCATTGGACCTTTAAGAAGTCACTTGCAGAATTTGAGTCGCACAAAAAGCTGTGATTGTACCCAAGTTTGATTACATGCACATCATTTGGTTATTTACACTTTTCTGACAGGCCAGTATTTATGTGACAGAAGGTAATATCAATTAAGTTTCTCAACATTTCTTAGTAGGAAACACTAGGGAAATTAAAATGTAGCGTTCGAAGTGCCAGCTGAGACTTGTAAATTAGCCTTGTGAAGGATTCATGGGACACTTTATAACTCCGGCAGGCTGGCGTCATTTAAAACAGAAGAAACAAACGTCAGCCATGCATGGAGGGGGAAAAAAACCCGGGGGGGAGAGTACGACAACCTTGAAACAACCAAACTACCATCTGCTACTGTTAGCTACTGTTTTCATAGGTACAATAGCTTTGTTTTTATTAATGTAATGTTCAAAACAGTCCTTTCCTTCTGACTGCATTCATATCAAAAGGAGAACAACAGGCTTTGTTTTTGTCGTTGTAACCTAGTCACTTGGAACATTGTGAAATGTGGAATTCGGGCTTGATCCCTCTTATAGCTCAGACACACGGGTAGGATTGTCAAACGTTTGCCTGCCGACAGTACTTAGCACCTCTGAACAGTGTTGCCAGTCAATCTCTGTTGTGATCACACAGCAAAGACCTTGAAGTCGTCAGCCACTCAGCCTTGTTAAAATACTCCAAACCAGAAGCTTAGGTAGTGTTGTTTGGCAATGCATGTCCGTGTGTTGCTTTATGGTCTAGTCAATGTTAGCTAGCTAGCTGCGCTAATCTTGCTATTGTTGTAGAAAGCCGTTGTTAATACTAGCCAGCTAGCTAATAAGCTAGTGCACATTATCAAACCAAACAAAACAATCCTTCTTCCAAGCACAAAACTCCTATGCTAGACATAAAAGATGTAAAGACTTGATCAAAAAAAAAAAGTATGTATTATGCAGCTTTATTGTTAAAGTTAGAACAATTCTGATGGAAAGCGTGGATTAGACTGAAAAAATGCCCTATTCTTTCCTTTCTTTTCAGCTACTCTACAACGTCCATGAACATCCGGTGTTGGTCGGTCCTGAGTGGGGGGGAGGGCTGGTTACGGTAAATGGAAAGAGAGGGGGCTCATGGGTAGGTGTCAGTAAGAGCCGGGAGAGGTGCATTAACTGGAGAGAAAGAGAAGAGAGACAGGGAGAGAGAGTCCAGACTGTTTTTACACTCTTGCTTTGACCACCATGCGACAGAAAGAGAAAGAAAACAGTTATGAGTTGAACATAACAGTATGCCAGTGGAAGGGAGGACTGTAGCAGGTGACCCAACTGTGGTTTGTGACTACTATGAATTCTCATTGTAGCCAATTGAGTTGCAGTCATTCTGTTACAGATTTTGTTGCCGATTTGGTAACAGAATGAAACATTTTAATCACTTAATAAATCTTAAACCAAATTGTTATCAGGAAAAACACTATAACTAATTGGTAGGTCTACCTTTACTTGTTACTTCTATGAACTTTCATTATCCTCCCTCCTCATGAGGGAGAGAAATTAGACAATATCTTAAAGATATGTGGGTTTTGGGTAACAGAATGACAAGACACTAGGCAATAATTCTTAACCTTACAGAAGGCAAATCATTTCTGCAAAACTAAATATAAAAGTTAATGTTAGTTGGCAGGGGTCTTTACTTCAACATTATTGTGTTTTGATGGATTTCTAATACCTTTTAAGACTTTTTCTGCTAGATGTCTTCTAGGACCCCTTTTCCATCTGTTTGACCAGAAATCAAAGCCTTTGCTCATTCCTAATGCCCATACATGTGTAATGGGCGTAACACTGCTTGCTTAGCGAGTACCACCTCATCCTGATTCGGCTCACACAGGACCTCTGCCTTGCTGGCACACGTGACCGCCCACCTGAAGTGTCTTACCAGTTGGCGCCACGCGAAAAGCTAGCAATATGGCGGTTCAGACTGAGGAGTACGTTTCACACATCCCCATGTGCTACATTCACCCCTCACACTTACTCAACAGCGACCCCAGCGTTGAGCTGAGCGCAACTACATATCCGAGTCATTAGGCTGTCACGCTGCTTGCTTAGCGAGTACCACTTCCTCCTGATTCGGCTCACGCCGAGGCTCGAACCCAGGACCTCTGCACTCCAACCAACCTCAACTACAGGAGTCTGATAGACGTGAATGAATTTGAGCAAGTGTTCAGCACTGCTCAGAGAGCCCTCGACTGGGAACTATCGATTTCTCTAGAGCAACGATTATTGCACACCGTTGATTGTGTTATGAAACAGAGAAAGTCCACAGAGAAATCAAAAACCAACGGAAGACGTAATTACATTTCGGAACAATAGAGACCAAATTGAACTAAGAAAACAGAAGACGTAACTCAATTTGTTGTCAGTTGGCATCTAGTATATATAATATAGTTACACTGCTCTTTACTGGTCTAGACCACTTTGCTCCAGCTCGTGTTCCTTTCAACAAGGCTACCAAGCAATCTTGATTATTTCTTTAATGAGCCACGGAATTCCCAATAAAAATGTGCATGTTTTTACAAGGACATTCATCCTTTTATCCATTCATCTTTTAAAATGGGGAGAAACACCAATAATGGCTCGACATTGTGTTTTTTCAAAGGTTTCTTTGGTTTTGATCATTTGAAAGACTTTGCAGAGAGGACATATTGAATTTCCCAGTAATTCATGGAGAAGCTAGCTAGCTGTAGTCCGGTCTTGATTAGACAAACCCCAGAAGGGTCTAAATCAAGAGTTGCTGACTCAACTGCTGCCTGCTGTCTGGTCAATAATAATGTAGCCTCGATCCAGCCTTCCCCTAGTAAACTGAGTGAATGTGAGATTACAGAGTCCGATGATGCAAGATATAATAATGTTATGTAATAATAATGTTCTTCACTGGGTAAAAAAACTAACCAATAACGGACTGCATTCATGTCGATACACATTATCCCATGTTAGGTAACCACTGTGGTGTCCTATAACACAATAATAAGCCTAGAAGAGAAACTGCCAAGAAGTGTAAAAAGCTACTGCAGTACAGTGGAAAAACACTTTGGGCTCTTGATCAAATGTGGGGACTGGGGACCATAACGTCGTAGAAAGTGAAACTTGACAACCCTTTAAATAAATATGTACATGTATTTCCATATTCAGTTTGATAGATTTGTCATTTCGGAGTGGTTCGAGGCATCCTCCAGGATCATCACCATAGAGGCTTGCTGATACATCACAAACCAGACGGTCTGATCTGCCTAGAAATCAGATGACCGATTCTCACAGGAGCCTGTCAACATCACAACACTGTATCCCCTAGCTGCAGCTTGTCACACACAGAGAGAGAGAGAGAGAGAGAGAGAGAGAGAGAGAGAGAGAGAGAGAGAGAGAGAGACAGAGAGACAGAGAGACAGAGAGACAGAGAGACAGAGAGACAGAGGAGGGGGAGGGGGAGAGGGAGGAAGCCTGTCGCATCTGACAGAAGACCCCTGACCGGATCCTGACCTCAAGACCCTAAGAGACAGTCACATCTTAGCCCCCTTTAAATCCAACAGGATCAGCACAAATATCTTTCCTCAAACTCATATCAAAGTCACATAGTTATGTCAAAGATTTGGATAACACGGCTATCATTAAAAAAAGAAGCACTCTTCTCCATTGGAGAAGTGTATTAACTTTCGTAAGGGGGATTGTATACCAGGTAGTCCTGGGGGCACCAAATCTTCAGTCATTTTATTTGTGTTTTGAATTGACACAGGAATAAAAATTACTGCAAACATGGTACACTTTCATGCAGTGGCCTCCCCTTCCCTGCCCCCCCCCCCCATCTCCCCCAGTTCCCCGTCTCACCTGAGCCTGACCTCCTCCTTCTTCCTCAGCTTCATGTCCCGCTGCACCACCTTCAGCACGTGCTCTGCTTCGTCGTCCGTCAGGCCCGACAGGTCCAGCTTGCGCCCCATCTCTCCTGGGCTCGCCACCGCCACGGGGTGCTGCTGCAGGGGGGCACTGGGGATCTGGGGGGGTCACTCGGGGGGCCCGGGGCTGGGATGACCCTGCACAGGGGAAGGGGGTAGAGGGGGCTTAGAGACAGAAAAAGAGGAGAGGGTCCATATCTATACAGAACAGAAATATAAACTCAACATGTAAAGCGTTGGTCCCATGTTTCATGAGCTGAAATAAAACATCCCAGAAATGATCAATTTGCATAAAAAGCTTATTTCTCTAAAGTCTTGTGCACAAATGTGTTTACATCCCTGTCAGTGAGCATTTCTCCTTCGCCATGATAATCCATCCACCTGACAGGTGTGGCGTATCAAGAAGGTGCACCTTGTGCTGGGGACAATAAAAGGCCACTCTAAAATGTGTGTTTTGTCACACAACACAATGCCACAGATATCTCAAGTTTTGCGGGAGCGTGCAATTGACATGCTGACTGCAGGAATGGCCACCAGAGCTGTTGCCAGAGAATAAACCGACTCCAACGTCATTTTAGAGAATTTGGCAGTACGTGCAACCGGCCTCACAACTGCAGACCACGTGTAACCCGACAGCCCAGGACCTCCACGTCCGGCTTCTTCACCTCCGGGATCGTCTGAGACCAGCCACCCGGACAGCTGATGAAACTGAGGAGTATTTCTGACTGTAATAAAGCCCTTTTGTGGGGAAAAAGTCATTCTGATTGGCTGGGCCTGGCTCCCCAGTGGGTGTGCCTATGCCCTCCCAGGCCCACCCATGGCTGTGCCCCTGCCCAGTCATGAGAAATCCGTAGATTAGGGCCTAATTAATTGTATTTCAATTTACTGATTTCCTTATATGAACTGTAAGCTCAGAAAAATCGTTGAAATGTTTGCATGTTGCGTTTATATTTTTGTTCAGCATACATTCAGTGTTCCAGCGTTTTTGTATTGTATTATGTTGCATTGTAGTGTAAATGTAATTTCCATGTGAATGGACAATAAAGTTATTGTATCGTACGTATGAGTGTGGACGCAGCACATCCCTATTGAATGAAATGAGAGGGGATGGAAAGAGAATGGTGAATCATAAGCTCTGAGAATGATGTGCTCTATTATTGACCTAGCCTCATCATCAGAATCCTTTTGACAAGGATGGATGGAAGGGGTAGGCATCATATTCAGTTGTTTCAGACCGGGAGGTGACAGTTGCCTTTCGTTAGGTCAAAGCTATCTAAATTGGCAATCAACTTCCAATGTCATATTGTATGTTGAAAACACATCTCTGTTTTCAGTCGGCTTAAGATATACGTACAGAATAGATCAAGAGCACATACAGCGCATTCAGAAAGTATTCAGACACCTTGACTTTTTGCCCCATAATGACAAAGAAAAAACTGGTTTGTATAAATTTTTGCAAATGTATTAAAAATTAAAAAAACTGAAATACCTTATTTACATAAGTATTCAGACACTTTGCTATGAGACTCGAAATTGAGCGCAGGTGCATCCTGTTTCCATTGATCATCCTTGAGATGTTTCTACAACTTGATTGGAGTTCACCTGTGGTACTTTCAATTGATTGGACATGATTTGGAAAGGCACACACCTGACTATATAAGGTCCCACAGTTGACAGTGCATGTCAGAGCAAAAACCAAGCCATGAGGTCGAAGGAATTGTCTGTAGAGCTCCGAGACAGGATTGTGTCGAGGTACAAAACATTTTTGCAGCATTGAAGGTCCCAAGAACACAGTGGCCTCCATCATTCTTAAATGGAAGAAGCTTGGAACCACCAAGACTCTTCCTAGAACTGGCCGCCCGGCCAAACTGAGCAATCGTGGGAGAAGGGCCTTGGTCAGGAAGGTGACCAAAAACACGATGGTCACTCTGACAGAGCTCCAGAGATTCTCTGTGGAGATGGGAGAACCTTCCAGAAGGACAACCATCTCTGCAGTACTCCACCAATCAGGCCTTTATGGTAGAGTGGTCCTCTGTAGCTCAATTGGTACAGCATGGTGCTTGTAACGCCAGGGTAGTGGGTTCGATCCCAGGGACCACCCATACGTAAAAATGTATGCACACATGACTGTCAGTTGGATAAAAGCATCTGCTAAATGGCATGTTATTATTATTATTATTATTATTATTATTATTATTATTAGAGTGGCCAGACGGAAGCCACTCCTCAGTAAAAGGCACATGACAACCCGCTTGGAGTTTGCCAAAAGGCACCTAAAGGACTCTCAGACCATGAGAAACAAGATTATCTGGTCTGATGAAACCAAGATTGAACTATTTGGCCTGAATGCCAAGCGTCACATCTGGAGGAAACATGGCACCATCCCTACGGTGAAGCATGGTGGTGGCAGCATCATGCTGTGGGGATGTTTTTCAGCAGCAGGGACTGGGAGACTAGTCAGGATCGAGGGAAAGATGAACGGAGCAAAGTACAGAGAGATACTTGATGAAAACCTGCTCCAGAGCGCTCAGGACCTCAGACTGGGGCAAAGATTCACCTTCCAACAGGACAACGACCCTAAGCACACAGCCAAGACAACTCAGGAGTGGCTTCGGAACAAGTCTCTGAATGTCCTTGAGTGGCCCAGCCAGAGGCTGGACTTGAACCCGATCAAACATCTCTGGAGAGATCTGAAGATACCTGTGCAGCGACGCTCACCATCCAACAAGACAGAGCTTGAGAGGATCTGCAGAGAAGAATGGGAGAAAATCCCCAAATACAGGTGTGCCAAGCTTGTAGCGTCATACCCAAGAAGACTTGAGGCTGTAATCGCTGCCAAAGGTGCTTCAACAAAGTACTGAGTAAACGGTCAGATTTTTTGTATATTTATATATACACATTTGCAAACATTTCTAAAAACCAGTTTTTAATTATTCATTATAGGGTATTGTGTGTAGATTCGAAGGGGGAAAATGATTTAATCCAGTCTAGAATAAGGCTGCAACGTAACAAAATGTGGAAAAAGTAAAGGGGTCTGAATACTTTCCAAATGCACTGTAAGGCCACAAACTAACACGCAAACACCACACAAACAAACAGTGTCACGTTCTCAGCAGCTTCAGTGGGAAAAAGCTGAGAACTCTCTCAGGCTGAGTCTCAGTAAGCCGCTATGGTTCTGCTTAAATGCATAATGATGTCATTCACAAGGCCAACCACTCTGGCATAGACATGCGAGCACTTCTAGACCTCCATCTCTGACTGTCCACAGGGGGAAAGTATCCTGGCATAACTGGATGGGATTTCAGCATTTCACATTATATTGTATATCACACTCTTAAGGCTGCAATACCCTGCCTTGTATTTCTGCCTGACTAAGGAACAACTGCTCGGAGAGGTTGAGAGTAGAAGAAGTTCAGTAGAAAAAAATAAATATATAATTATTGTAAAATTGACTGTGTCCATAAAATGTAGATAGTAAGTATAAGCTAGAAGTAGAGGCCTAAGTATTGTTGTTCACTAGTTTACACCAAGTAGGGAAAGGGTGGCGGGGTTGGAAAGTAATAAAGGGGAATATATATATATATATATATATATATATATATATAAAAAACATGGGGGATTGGAAGTGATGCAGACAATTACATTGATGGAAGTTACAATCTATCTGCAATATTAAGCTGATCTACCCCCCCCCCCCCCCCCCAAAAAAAAAAAAGGAACAACTGCTTTCTGAACACGAATTCTAATAATACTTTGAGTCCTTTTCAGTTACACACAAGTGGCTTCAAGGCACCCCGTGATACAATATCTGTGTCCCTACTGATAAAAATGATCCTGGTGATGACAGAGCGAGAGATCGGAGAATACAGTACAAGGCCATCGCCCGTCCTACCCCTGGCCAAGCCGCTGGACTTCCTGGAATTGTCTGCTCTGTCTCTGACGTACAATAGGAGAAAAGGACCAAGCTATGTATCTGTTGTACTGTATCTGCCTTTGGCTCAGGCATTGGGCAGGGCCATAGCAGTAGGTAGGTAGAAAGGTAGTACAGTCCTAGGGTGCATCCCAAATGGCACCCTATTCCCTATATATGGCACTCCTTTTGACCAGGGCCCATAGGGCCTTGGTCAAATGTAGTGCACTACATAGGGAGCCATTTGGGGTAGACAATGTATCTAGAGGAGGGATTATTCAGTCCTGCAGGGGGAGGAAATTATTCAGTCCTGCTTTTTATAGTCGTGTCAAGGACAGGGTGGAGGGCATCAATTATGCCTGTGTGTGTGTGTGTGTGTGTGTGTACACAGTAAGTATGTGTGTCTGCATCTGCTCGCCGGGGTGACTCAAGAGATTTAGGCTCTGTGGCAGCCAACGTTCCCCACAAGACCGTTTTCATTGATGATGCGTTCCCTATTACACGTGCACGCATGTCCACACACACACACACACACACACACACCCTCCCTCCTGGGAAGATGTCACCACATTTTCGTCACACACTGTCAATAACCCACCCACCATCCCTCCACCTAAAACAATAGCACAAATTAGGCTTGGATCAGCCTGAATGCTGCAGCACAGCGGGATGTGTGGGTTATACAGGCTGCGCCCCATATAGACTCTGGTCAAAAGTAGTGCCCTATATAGGGTATAGGGTGCCATTTGGGATGCAGCCTTCGATACCAAACTGTGCTGATCTGCTACGGTGTTTGGAAATTGTGTCGACAACGTTTCAATGTCTTTTAAATGGGTATAGCCTATCACAATCCTTCAAGACACATGTTCACGCCCAGAAAATAGCTATATCTATTTCAAAGAGCTAATATAGATTGCTCTTTTTACATCGTACTGTGCACCACAAATGATACTGTTGCATTAAAGCATGGATCATTACTAAGTGAGTCACTGCAAGCTCTAGTGAATGAAAACAACAACATGGCAACTCATAACAGATGTCATGTGACTCATGTCCACTAAACACAGGGAATCAGACAGCCTCATTCAGAATGCCTCGCTTCAGGGTGAAGTTTTCCCTAGGTACAGATCTAGGATCAGCTTCCCCTTCCCCAATCCTAACTTTAACCTTTAGTTGGGGAAATGCAAAACTGAGCCCAGATCAGCGTCTACGGGCAACATCACCCTACTCCCCTACATGAGATAGCTATGCTAATCCATCACCACTGCTTAACTCGGACTGATGAGTCATCAACACAGACACCCTCAATCCCACAATGCAAAGCTCCTCTTCATTATATAGTGTTTTACCCGATGCTTTCTCTTTACGTAAACAAACAATACTCGTTGTTGATCAGCTTTGACTTCACTGCCCTTGTGAGTGAGTAGTATTGAGAACAGGCATTGGGAATACGTAACATAGCAGCAACCAGGACATGACAATAGTTGGATAGAGGATGGACTGGAGAATGAAAGTCCTGTATCTCTCAGCTAAGGATGTTCAAGATAGGGAGTCCATTCTATTCTTCACAGACAGAATTCCACACAGTCAAACGGAAAATACACACGTACTGTACATATACATAGATGAACGTATGCACACACACAATTATATTATGCACAGACCTATAGTAGCCTACTTTACTGCACTGTCAAACTGTACCATAACTCACAGACACAGTGACATCCTTAATGCATGTATAGCAGGGGTGTAAAACTAATTCATCCCCAGGGGCTGCATTCTGTCTTCAACGAGGTCCGGAGGGCCGTACTGAAAATGTGTTATATTTCTTTGCCATCAAAATATCCATCGTGTTGGAAATGTGTTATGCTCCCTGACTGTCTAGCTTTCAATTCGGTGATTATTAACGAGCTGGACACAGTAAGAAGAAACTGTATGAATGTAGGTCCATTATCATTTCTACACAGTTTCGATTTGGTTTGAGTCATTTTAAAGTATATTGAGTTCGTTCCCCATACAATAATTGTGTCAGTGCAACCCTGCTAGGGCTCCACAGCAGACGGACGCATAAAAAACAGGCCTGTGTGTGTGAACTCAAAAGGGCCATCTGTATTTGTTCAGGCTTGTGATTGGAATAGCTGAAATACCGTACGGTAGGTATATCCTATTATTACATGTAACAGAGTCACCAGTATTAAATGAACTGCTTGTTTTAGCCTCTTAGAGGCTAGTTTAAGGATCAGCGCTTAGCCTTAACCAGAAGAGAGAGAACCGCTCTCACTGTCTACGTCTTAAATGGCACCCTATTCCCTATAGAGTGCACTACTTTTGACCTGGGCCCATCCGGCTCTGGTCAAAAGTAGTGTACTATGTAGGGAATACGGTGCCATTTGGGACGCATCCACCGAGTGACTGAGAAGGACATTTTTATTCTAAGACGTATCTTATGAATAAAATCAATGGACTTTTCCACTTGAGGTTTATTCATTGGCGCACTGTAGGGCCTACGATGTGTGACGCATAGCACGGCTCTGTGCTTTTAGGGTGAATGCTGGAGATAGAGAGGGTGTGGAAACAATTTAATAGATCATAGACGATACTCCATAGTGGCGCTGTCACTTTGCAAAACGGGACACCTAAAGCGCTGGATCTGGTTTGTGAGTTTCACTCGAAAAATGTGAAAGTCCACCAAGTCTCCTCAAAAAGTGTCCCACTTAACTGGTATAATTGCCTTTCCTTGTGTCCATTTGGCCATTTGTCTTGTCTGACTAATGTGTCAGGAAGTAGACAGTTTCCAATCCTCCTAAGGGCTGAGAAGTAACTAGAGGAGAATCTCAACTGCATACTCCTCGCGTCCTCTCTCCTCGCCTCCTTCTCAAAACCCATTGGATGAAAACGCCAGAGGTCCCTCCCCTCTGACCTTCTCCTCCAATGGGTTTTGAGAAGGAGGGAGGACGCGAGGAGTATGCAATTGAGATTCTCCCTAGGACTATCTGTCAGGAGTGGCCTCCATTCTGGGGCTTCGTCCCAAATGGCACCCTATTCCCTATATAGTGCACTACTTTTGACCCGGGGCCTGCACTATATAGGGAATAGGGTGCTATTTGGGACGTATTCCGGGCCCTGGAAGCGGGAACGCAGGTTCCAGGTTGGGAGAAACACCTGATCATTTGTCACTGTCTGACATCTTGCTATCACACCCCGCACCTGCCTCCCAATTACCACCCTCTATATAGTAGGTGCCAAGTTGAGAATATGCTGCATTGTATTCACAACCTGCTGGCAGTGCAGCATCCAACGGTTTCTGTGAATAAACTACTGTGTAACTGTGCTGATGACCAGTGGCGTGTATTCATGGATGCCAATGGAAGCCAGGCTTCCCCAAAAAAAGAAAATAATGTATCTTTCATCTCTCTGTGTTTTCATAATGTTCCTTCAATTCGCAAGAGGCTGAATGTATCTCACCGGAGAAAGCCTCTGAGCGAGCAAAATAGCGCCCCTCTGTCTCTGTATGTGAAGGCCATCTACCTGATGCTGTTTCGTCATAAAGAGTATGACATTGTTGCCACCCATAGCATTGAATGCAAGGGAAGCCAGCGAGCATTTGGCCTCCCTTGATAAAAAAAAGTATAAAATAATAGCCAATCAGCGTTGAGCTAAACTGAGTGAGCTCAATTGTTAATGGTCCTGGCGCATCAAAAAAAAGTATCAAGGGAAGTCTGGATTTGGATTTGGCTTCACTCCTATCAGATCGCATCAAAAGAAATACGTCATTGACAGAAACAACTTGAATTGTTGCATCTCGTTGTGTTGTTGTCCTCCCGTGGCTAGCTAGCTAAAATTGGCCCTTTCCTAAATTAGTCATGGATGGAGATAGGGATTTTGACTTGTGGTTTTACTTAATTCTCCGTACTGGCCAATGATTATAACAGCGATTCTGATCCAACCATAAATTCATACATTGTGCCCCTGGACTGAGAGGATGGAAGTAGCTAGATGTAGAAGGCTAATGTTAACTAGCTAACGTTGCCCATGAAAGGAAGTTAGGCTAGCGAGCAAGGATTTTAGCCAGGTAGCCTAGGACAACAAAAAAATTAAAGAGTGTAATGTATGACAGAGTCATAGACCGTTTCGTCAAGATGAAAGAGAGGAGGATGGCATTGGTGTTTCTCTACAAGTAGGGGGTTATTTCTGCACGCACAGACATATCAGAACTATGGACAGCCACATCATATGCATCTTACATTTATTGGACTAAATTGTTTTTGGTATCTTTTAGTTGTCACTGTATTAGACTAAGCATAGGTGATTTGATAATGTTGAAATGTTGAAGTTGAAATGGTGCTGGAATAGTGGAGGCAGCTCCTGTTTTCTTTGCAACATGCGTTAACTCTCCGTGGTTCTAAATCAATTGCTGTTTAGTAGTCAGAAAATGTTGAAATCATTAACTTGCTTGACCATGTTGTAGGTCATGGAACTGTTTGTTATATGCAATATGCTTTGTGGACTCTCCGGTTTTGTGATGAAACAAAGGTGTGTTTGAATGTATTCTTTCACTGTGTCTTCTTATTGTCTCGGCCTTAGGCCTATATATCACGGTGGCAAGGCATATGAACTAACAGGTCATAGAGCAAACAACGCAATTATCACAACACATAGGTTGTAATATGGCTATTTTTTTTCTGGCTTGGCTTCCCCAGTGATTTGACCCACCGCTACTGCTGATGACACAAAAACCAAATGGATGTGAATTAAAAAGGAGACTGGTTCCTAGAATAATAACATAGACATGTACATATTGTGGTATATTGATGTGAACTATTGTGGGTAGCCAATTGCTAGTAGGACATTGTTGAATTTAAAGACAATATCCAGCTAATCAAAGTCAGACAGACAGGTGAAGTAGTATATGACCTGTTTATTTTTAATGGGTTCTCTTGTCATCTTGTGTCCATAAGATAATAACTCTGAGCATTTTGCAGTCTCTATTATCACATTGTCAACCATTGACACACATCACCTTGCTGGCCAACAGTTGAGAGCAATGGGTGTCAAAGAGTCAAGGCATCACAGATACCAACTCTCAGTATGCATGCTTGTTTTGCTTATATTTAGGCTCCGAATAGAAATGATACATAATGGGATATAATATTATGCCATCAGTCCCCCAGTCCAGACTCGCCCCCTAAGGGTATGACTGCAAGCCATTACTTTTTGGCAGCCCAACCCGCATCACATTCTTCCCGATTTAAATCCCCACAACCTACTCTCGTGACTCACTCTCACGCATTCTCCTGCATATTCATTCATCGCCATAGTTTTTTGACCTAGGCCTACTCCTTCTTGCTCGGTCAGAGGTATCCAAACACTTGTTTACAATTACCTATATACTCCTGCATCATGAAATGGACAATGTTGAGCCTGATATTTTGCATTTACACCGATTTTCAGGTCTCTTATTGCATGAAGGAGATTCTATGTATATGGCTATACCTACATTGACATTTAAATCACAGTGTAATTTAAACAATCAGATCGAACCTCCGCACTGGGCACACACTGGTTAAATCAACGTTGTTTCCAAGTCATTTCAATGAAATGATGT